TTTTAAAGCCATAGCTCTATGTAATTAATCAGGATCTCAGCATGGAGAGCGTTTAGTGTAACGAAAATGTTGTAACGTTGCTATCTCACACATTTTACGAGATGATCTGATTAATGCGGCCATTTCGAAATAGGACGGATTCCCATGAAAGAGAATACTGCCATCACAGCCACAACTGAACTTCTCATCTAAAGCACCATAATAAGGACCTTAGAGGCCTTCCCCATCAGTCTCTATTGGTACAAAACTGGAGAAGTTCATCAACACAATATGTTTTGGATTGGCTTAGGAAAATGTTGCAGATCTCAAAGCTGTGTTGAAACAGGATAACCCTTCAACAAGACCAGGTCCATAAGGGCACGTAAAAGCAGGCGAGAGTTTGAATAGAAACGAAAATCGACGAGTCAGTCTATTCCGCCGTTATCGCCCTTATCATGAAATCATTCGATAATTGCATGGAGTGGACAGTGAAGCATGAAAGCTCCACAAATAGGGTGACAAGCTCTTGATACTGTGCAGTGCGTGACAGGTACAGATCCATAAAAGGCAATGCTGTTACTTTATCTGAGTAATCTCTGGAGGTCGGCCATACCCAGGTTTTCGAATCGTTCAAATCTGAAAGCACTTCCTGGAACTTGTCGGTTTCTGGAGAAAGAAGTAGTTGTAATCGTAAATTTAATTTACGTATGGCTCAATGATTCTCGCTACGGCAACAAATTTCACCTTGACCAGAAAGTGCCCAGTAAGTCCGGAACAGATGCTGGTTAAGAAATTAACGATAGCATCCAGAAGCTTCTCCTTGTTATCCATTCTTTATTAATAACCTTCACACAAGTTCGCCTTTGGAGAGATCGTGTAAACAACTTTTGAGTTGAAAATATTTTCACGCAATATTTCACTATCAAGAATGAACCACATTAAAACCGAATTACTGTAATAAATAAAGGAATGACATATACAAAACGATATGAAGCAGGGGCAAGGTAGTGACTAGTTAAAGCATTGAACTTACGTATGAAAAATGAATCTCTAATTGACGAAGAAAAACAAATACATAAGCCCCTTTACATAGCCGATGATCTCCTGGCTACCTAATTTAGACTCACCAAAACAACGATCAACAAATGATATGGGGACCTCACCGATTTTGTAACCTTTCTTACTTGCACGGAACATCATTTCCATCTGAAATGGGATTTATTTATGGTTGGAAAAAACAACTCTGTCGAAGGCTGAGCCGATACTGAACCGAATACCATTGCTCAATACTCTGTAATCATAAAACTCACCTGGAACACGTATCCTTTACTGACACTTTCACTTATTAAACATGCGAGCACTTCCTTTCTATATAGTCTGAACGAACCCGTCAAGTCAGAAACTCCAGGATTGAGGAGGAACTGAAATTACAGTTCATCAATTAGAGCAAATACTATGAAGAAGAGCTGCACTGCATAGTCTCACAAACAGTCACGTCAACCGGTTTCCCGACCAGGGGGATTGCATTTGATCGCTGAATAGAGGCGGCGGACGAGAGGAGTCGTATTAGCCTTTAAGAAAGAAAAGTTTGTCAGTTCTCCTATTTGGAGAATGCTACACTTTCCCTTCCCTTCCCACCCCGGTTTGAGTTTCGTGGGAGAGGTGGAGGAATTTTTGGAGAAGAAAACACTATGGAAAACTGCAGGATCACACAGGAACATGGAATGTAGGATGGAAAATGAGGAATGGGGGTCGTGTCATTTTTCAAAGTTTGAGGTGGAGCAAGCTTTGCGCAGGACGCGTGCTGCTTAAAGTAAGTAGGTGCAGTCACACCGACAATAGGAGTGTTAGGATATACTGTTTTAAATAACCCAATTCAGCATCCAGCGTGCTATGTCGCTGTGTAGTTGTACTATTAGCAATGCGAAATATGTTGGTCTCTGGAGGTCCCTTGAAAGAAGTAAATATTCGAAGAGTTCAATGACTCCGGACCTATATTAGGTTCTCATGAAATGTGAGAGAACGCCGAACACCATCGTGAATGACAGCATAACAACATTTGGCAAAAATGAAAAATAGTAGTGTTCTACTATGACTAAACACCGACCTGGGCGAGGAAGTTAGCTCCTTTGCTCATAGTTTTCCGTTTAATATCCCAACCATAAACCCCTCCAGACATAGCGTACCGCGTACCAGTTACGATATCTAGCTGCAATGGGACTCGAATACTTAAGCAAGTCCGATTAAGGAGTCGAAGATCGTCTCAGATGCTCACGTTTTCTTTCTTCTGAAGTTCGATCATTTCAGGTATGAATTTGGGATGATGAGATAGATCGGCATCCATAAGAATAATAAAACTGAATAAAAAACCAGTAAATCGCAGCAAATGAAAAATGGCGGTTTGATGGAAGAAAAACATATCGTATATATGATTCCTTTGGAGATAAATGTCATTCATTTTAAAATAAAACGACCCTTCAGAGGGCAAATAAGGCTGCACTCATGGTTTTCGTCGGCCTATTGGGCAAAATGGAAGGTATAGGCATCGATGGGCGCTCGAAACGTAAACCCTAGGTCGATAACCACACCTTCTTTTTCCCTCAGGATACTGGCCTACTGCTAAAGAAAACTCAAAACGGTAGGTCTATATCATTCCCACTTTCTTCAGACACCAACAACCTCACACAACATGAAATGTCGACGTAACAAGCAATAACCGTACCATCTCATTTAGTTCCGCCTTCGCGGCCATGCGTTGGAGCGTGTCAGACAGTGATGGTACTCCACCACCGTACAAAGCCGATTCTTCTGCTTTTTCATGTTAAACACACACTGCATGCGCAGCAAAACGTGCGCTAGGAAAACGAGTAATACTGAAGGACCATCGTACCAGATCCCCTCTACTTAGTCCCGCTCAACACACTGCATCGCGAGAACGCTAGTCTTCCCTGCGCGCACCACGCGCCGAAAAACGCTCAGTCGCACATGACTACGCCAACTGTCCGTCCGCGGCGAACCACACTTTATGTACTATGTCTCGCGCGGCCCATGCTTTACCCAAACGACCTATCCAAGTAGCTTTCACGTTACACCGAATTTCAAGGCAGGGAGACTGCTAAACAAGCAAACCTGGGCGCTTTACACATAATAAAACAGATCAAGTAGTTAGTGGATAGCTCGTAATAAGACCGGTCATCTCAAGCGATGATACTAACTCACTTTCCTTCTAGCGTATTTATGGCATGCAATATATGCGTATCCCCAGGACCAAGCTTCCTTCTCTAGCTTGAGTACGAATTTTTCACTGGACCATTATTCACTTACGTATTCGCTCAGCTACAGTCTTGATGTGCCATCGTGGACTTAGCATCGGGCAATCACCGAATTCACTGTTCAAATGCTGAACCATCAAATAAAACAGAAAAGGAACAAAATCAAAGTTATTCTCTTAGGAAAAAAACGGGCCGATACTTGCTGTTAGAAGATGGCCTTCCGTCAGTTCTTTGTTTTAGTACGGTTGAGTACGGTCTCGATGTTTACGGGCACCCAACTTCTGAACTGCAAAATAGCCATTTTGTTTTGTCACAGATTCCTCTATTTTTTCCTACATCTCCTTTTCCTTCCTTCCTTCTGTATTCCATCTTTCTTGACCTTATCCCTTCAAGTACTGGGCAAGTAGATGCGATGAGAAAATAACCCTGTACTAGCTTAACCAAGTACCATTCGGCGAACCCACCAAGCCGAACTGCCCCCGAAAAAGAATTAAATTTTTCTAAGAGTGAAACAAAATAGGACTGAAAAATGAGTGTACGAACCTCATAACTGATTCCCTTCAAATATTTCTCCAGTAACCAGATGCAAATTGGCAGATTTTCTCTCTCATTGTATGTTGGTAATAAAACAGTATATTCAGGAACCATATAAGCTAAAAAAGAAAACTAAAAAAAAAACAAGTTTTCACCGATGAAAAAAAGCTGGTGCAACTCAGGTAACAGTTTATGTTGATGAATAACAACTTCAACAAAATATAATACCACTCGAAGAAAATTTATTCGAGACAGATATTACTAACAACTCTATCACTTAAACGGAACACTTTTTTGTCTCTGGCTTTTTTAGATCCTGCTCTTTGGAGTCCTGTCTTGTTATTTGTCGATTCGGAAGACGCTCTTGCTTTTGTGGTCGGTTGCTGCTTTGATGAATCGGGAGACGATCCTTCCTTTGGAGTTTGCTCTGACTTTGCAGATTCGGTAGACGGTCCTGCCTTCAGGGTCTGCTCTGGTGTAGATGCAGTAGAGGAACTCCAAAACCGCATGTACTCGTGTGGATCGAAGTTATCATCTATCGATTCCTATAAAAAATAAACATGCCATCATATTGACTGCATTCAAAGCCAAAAACAGAGGAGAAATGAAACGAGATGTAAAAGTGGATAAAACTTAGTAGATGCCTTCTTCCCAATTAGCCTGCATTCATTTTCTTCCACAGCGCTTTGAGCGCACAGTAGCCTTTTGAGAGACTAGAAAGGCACAGGCATCGAAAGTGGGTTTTGAGCGTACGTTTCTAGTCGCTCAAAACGCTGCCGTGAGCTCGAAACGCTGACGCAAAGTATGTACGCAGTCTAAGAATGTGAAGAGCCAGGGTCACAAATTAGGCATGACATGCCTATGTTTATGCATGAGTGAGAAACCGACAAAACTCCTGAAAGTAACCGTAATCCAACCTGAACAATCTTTTTAGTTTTGGGCTTCCTTGCTGCCAATCTATGCCGCCTTTCTTCTTCGGTCAACGCGTTGAGATCTACAGGAAGCTGCACCACCTAAAAACTCTGTTCACTCAATGGAATCAAGGAGTAAAACTATATTTTGTCTAATGAACTACACCCAAAGAAGTGGTTTTATTCTTACTGAAACAATATAACGATCCATTTTTGTCAATACTATGCTATCCCGGAGTGTAAGGAGTATCTGAATGTTGTAAATAACACAAGTAGGTCCTAAAATGTTCACGTACAGCTCGTTGAAGAGCGCGCAGGCGAAATATTCGGAAACAAATCCGGGACTTTTGAGTTCGTTTCTGCGACATGAGTTTTTGGGCAATAAACATTCTGGGAGCCTATTTATGTTATTTGCAAATTTAAGGCCTACTTTTGGCTATACAGTAATGGTTCTGATGAGACATGGTACAGGTTCTGGTTAATAAACAACCTATGGGCAAATTAGGTGTGCAGGCAGTTCGCCATCATCACGCATCCTCTCATTTCGGACGAGTTTGCTCACCAAAGTAAGACCTTTAGCTATTCTGCTCTCCTGTTATGCTGAACGAATGAAGAGCACTTTATGGTAACTCATGGGTGGAAGAGTATGAGAAATGAGTGTGAAGTTGGGTGCGTGTACTTAGATACCCGGTGGGCGTGGCCAAAATAGGGCGAGGGCTTGACGTGGACGGATATAATTAGGCTTCAGCGCTTCTTCCTGAGCTTGGAGACGATAATTTCCTTCTTATTAAACAGCTGTGTGTTTCTACTGCTTGAACTAAGAAGTTCCGAGAGGAAGAATTAACTTAGATTGGAATTTATGCTTTTTGCAAAGGTATACATTAGGCAGAGGCGAAAAAGTGGTTATCAGGTCTTACGTATGATCATGAAATCAACATTAAGCACACCTTGAAGACAATAGGAACGTTTACCTTGTAAACGGTGCTCCCGTCTAATATCTATTGCAGCACAAATTTGGGAAACACCGGTCCATTTCGAAGCCTTGCCCCTGTGGCCACGCCCACCCGGGTATCTAAGTCACGTTGCCTGAAGTTCCAGACAAATTAGTTCACTGGATATTTCGCTGCATAAGCACCACATATGCCCCGTAGGAACCCGGAAAAGCACCCGCCCATTTTAAAAAGTGAACTCACTCCACGTGGTTCCAGGTAACGAATTTCTAGCGTTGACCCATCTGGTCTTATAAGCGTCACCGGATAGTGTCGTAGATACTGAGAACGAGAGATTTTCCCGAGGCAAGCACGCCACGCATTTCCACGCTCTAAATGAACGAAATAAGATGAAAGCTCTTCAGCATCCTCCCTGAATAAAGAGCAGCTATGCAACAAAAAAACCTCTAAATACCTTGAACAATGGCAGAAGAACAGCTTGAAGTGGGAATAAGGAATTGTCGAAAAAACTGCCTACTAGGCGGTGCAAATCGTGTAATCAACATTGTCCTCCGTTGAAACAAAT